AATCTTCACCAAAACCCCCAATTTTTCTTCACAATATCAACAATGGCAGAAACGGGAGAAGGAGAAATCATTTTCCATGAAGGATGAGACGAGAACAAGCAGAGAGAAAAGTATGAAGACTTGCTGACACGCGAGGTTTTTCCCACAAGGTACATTGATGAAAATTGCTTGTACAATTTAGGATTTATCATAGTGTCTTTTATTTGTTAGATAACTTAGGATTGCATGATATATTTGCTCATAAAGAACAGTCATATGAGAGGCTAACCCGAGAATTCTTAAGTTCCCTCATTTACACGGTTAGGCCGAACACTGCAAGTACCATAGGCACATTTAAATTCCGCATGTTCAATATGGAATATTCATACACTACTGATCAACTTTTAAGTCTGTTAGGATTTCCCCACCGGGAAGATGTGTTGTGTGAGGCACCCTTAGACTCTAATTGGGCAGTTGATGCCCATCAATTATGGAGAGATTTGACAGGTCACACTATAAATTCCTTTGAGGGGAACTTAACTTCAAATATCCATAACCCGACCATCAGTGTTTTCCACCAACTATTAATAAACACTACTTTTGGCCGGGAGAATTCTAATAAGTTAAATGCCAAGGAATTTCTCTTTTTACAGGCCATGCTTACACAATAAAGGTTAAATTCAGTCCCCTTTATGATAGTGCAAATGCATGCTATTGTGAAAAACAAGGGGACCATATCTTTTGGAGGGTTGACTACCTCCATTGCCCGTGCTTTAGAGTTAAGTATTGAGCTGGCTACATTAGAACTTTTTCCACCTCACACCATTGATCTGAAATTTTTAAGAAATATATGTTTGTGTAGGGTGAGGAAAGAAGGATTTACTACCTCATGGTTCATAATGTATCAATCAAAAGTGTTATTTTACCTTGCGTTAGTCATACAAACGTGCGAAGCAGAAGAAACTGGACCTATGATTTACAAGCCACAGTTTACCGACCCATTACTCCCAAACATCTCACAAAATGAGGATGACACGATTGGTGATGACTATGAGTAGAGGAACATGTCTCCCGTTCATGATTCCCCTCCCCCCATATACATAACCTACACACACCACACCCTTTTGCAGGTACATCTTCAGGCTACCACTTTGATGAGGATCTGCTAAGAGAGAAAAGAGCCCGTGAAGAGGAACGTGATCGCCTATTTTATGCCGTGCACAAATAACAAAAATGAATGATGGACCTCATGCGAGAATCTCAAAGACAAACAAAGCGTTCCCTGCAATCGATCTTAGAAGCCCAAGCTACATTGGTGGCCCAACAACAATGCCAACATGCGTAATTGGCGAGTCATTTCCAATGTGTGGAGATAAATCAAGTTTCTATTCTAGGGACCTCTGAAGATTACAAGAGTCAAATGCCTCACTAGCAACACAAATTAAGCAACTCGAGATTTTACAAAGTACCCGCCACCGCAGTAGGAGCCGTCATTTGAGACGTCCAAACCAAGGAGTAGAGGGAACTAGTGGCTAGTAGTAGCATCATCCAAGTTCCACCTATCTTTTCTCTCCATTTATCAAAACATTGGGGACACTGTTTGGTTTAAGTGTGAGAGGGGATATTTACCGCTTTCATTTTTCTTTATGCTTTCTAGTTTTTACTGTTTTCTAGTTAGTTTCATTTTTGCTTTTAGTTCATTTTTAGTTAATTACACGTGCTTGCCGAATCGTATGTGTAGTTTGTTGATTTCCTCCATTTCTTGAGCCATACCAAAAATTTGAAAAAGAAAACAGTGAAAATTTTGAAAATTTAGGCTGTTAGACAAGTCAAGGATAGGTTGCAAAGAACTGGGAAAACTCATGAAAAATCGATATCATCCTAACGCCGTAAGTTTCCTAATTATAGAGATTTATTCGGATACTTATTATGTCGTAGCCTTGAATTCTCACCCTTTATTGAGTCCTTAAGTAGTTTATCTTAGCAGTCAGCACCATCTGAGTTGCCGTTAAGTGAACAGACCGATGCAAATAGGTGAATGATCCCGTAAAAGAAAGAAAAGAAAAAATATAGTAAGAAGCAAATAATTTGAAAAAGAATCTACCTTCTAAGTTAGGTGACCCTCATCCGGTTACTTAGGCTTACGGTAGTGAAACTTCTAAAAATTATGCTAGTGTGTTTGTGTTAAATAGTCAAATTGTTGAACGTTGACACAATATGGATCATGATCACTAACAGGTTTGTTCACCTGTGAGTACAGATAACGGGCTTAATGTGATTGCGCCTGAATGAAAAAGGATGAGAATATGATGAGTAAGTTAGGCCTAGGTATAATAACATGACATATATTGGTTTGTATAGGAAGAAAACTTATGAATGCAAATGTGGAATGTGTCACTACGATACCCTTGGTTCATGAGTTGGTACCTATCAACTCAACCTTGATCGAACTAGAGTCTTTAACCTATATTAAGAACTTGTGTGTTTCTGTTTTTCTTCTTATGCTCATAAAGGATTGCTTGAGGACAAGCAGTGGTTTAAGTGTGGGAGATTTCGATAACACCAAAACATGTATTTGACTCGGATTGCACATGTTTTATCATCATTTTATTATTATTTTCTTGTATTATGTTGGTATTTTGTCTGGATTTCAGGTAAGTAGCCAAATGAGAGCCGTTCGCGAAGATTTTGGTGAAAATTGTGCACATGACATCCAACATGGCGTTGTCCATAGAGGTTTTCGTGAGCTGGATCACCTCTCCTACGCCTCAACGGTCAAAAGACCAAGTCATAATCATTTTGGGAACATGGTCGTCGCCATTCTCACATGGCGGTCGCCATCTTTGAAAATGTCACCCTAGTCAAATGGCAGTTGGAGACTTCACTCATGACCACCACTTTCCTCTCACACAATTTCTGAAGGAACTACTTGACTTCGAAGGCATTTTACTAGTATAAACAGGACCTAGATTTTGTTTTCTCATTGACCAAACTTAGTTGCAACTTAGGCATATATTTCAGATTTGTAAAACAATATTTCTTCACACTGGAGAGTTATCGTACTGTGGTTGCAATTGAGTTTGGAGCACCGTAGATTTAGAATTTTAATCTTGCCGCCACTTACATTCCAGTTGTAACAGATTCAAGTCTCCAATTGGAGCAGTTTTTTAATATGATTCTGCATTTACTTTATTTATTTCCTCGCACCGCTTTTACTTTGTTTACCTTATCGCATTGCTTTACTTTCGTTTAATTTCCTAGCACCGCTTTAATTTTATTTATTTCCTTGCACTGTCTTACTTTGTTTATTTTATTGCACAATTGTTTACTCGCTTTATTTCATTATCGAAAAAGATTTATTTTCAAAACCATACTTTGATCATATAATTCTTTTCATTTATTTTCGAAACCCAAATGCACACCTAACACTTTATTACCCAAAAAATGTCATATCCCAATTATCAATTATATGTTTTGTCATTTACCGTAACCATGTCCATCTAAATCTTTAGTACTGGAATATGAGGACCATCGATTCGACAGTACTCCATACGTTGTATCTGTAGGAACACTTTTGGGCCTGTTTTTGACTTTAATACAATTTTTCTGTGGTTAATTTGATTGGTTACTACAAAAGTAGAACCGTGATTAAGTCGGGTAAGATCGAAAGCCGTCTGACACTTAAGATAAAAATTGGTTAGTTTTTTATTAGGAAAAACATTGAAAGCGCTTTGTTAATCAATTAGGAAAGTTTAATATTATTAGAAGGAGATTTTGAAACTATTTTCGGACTCGTTTATAGGTTTAGGATCCGATTCTCCGAGCATATGCTGGAGACCCTTTTAAGTTAAAGTTTTCAATCAAAAAGCACTTTTCAACTAAGTTAAAGAGGTCATTATGTAAAAAAGTATTTTCTATTTTAACACAATACGCGACCGGTACAACGTGAGCGGCTGGTATAGATTAAAGATAAAGTCTGGTTCCAATTACGCTAACGTGACATTTCCTTTTTAATTAACTCTTTTTCAAGAAAGAAAATATTGCTCCGTAAGTGATGCTATTTAGAAACAATAGAAGTATTGTTTGATCTATGTGAATTACATTCCAATATTATTTCTCTGAATTTTTTTAATCGTTAATATTTACATTCCATGCACTTTCCAAAACTTTTGATTTCGCCTTAAGTAGAACACTGTAACAATAGAAATCGATAGATTGACATTGGTCTGTGTGAGATCGATAATCTTTTATATTACTCTGACGCACTCCGTATACTTGCGGATAACACGCATCACCACGACTTCCTAGAATATTGGCAGTCAACACCCTTCCCCAAGAATAAGGGAAAAATGACTATTTCTTAGAGTTCCAAAAACCCTAAAGCCCAGGGAAGGAAGCATAAATACCTTTCCCCTCGGCATGAGAGGGGATCCCGAATTAACATCATATTCACCTAGGTAATTAATAAACACACTAAGCTATCACAAACACCACTTACCTCACGTGAGTTGGTTACATATACCTTACGTACAAATAATACCTAGACAACACCATGCTACCATAACCAAAGGTCTCTCACCTCATGTGAGCAGGTCGTTAAACCACCATATATAGCCTCTCGCAACTGCAGATGGTCCTTAAACACCATCGATTTTATATACATACGAATACCTATGAGTGTCCACTACCTCGCAATAGGAATCCACACACCCCTATATTTTTTGGATAATACAGATATCTAAAGAAATAAAAAAAAATCATGTAAGTTTGAAGTTATTTAAAATAATTTTTAATAAAAAAAATTATTGAGTAAGAAATATTTTTTATATTTAAATCTTTAATAATAAATATTTATATTAGTTGAGGTTGAAATTAACTATTCAATTTATAAAAGAGTGTTTAAAATAACTTCTACTACTTTAAAAACTATGTTACATATTACAAAAATATTTTGCTTTAAATAGGGTTATTATATATTGACACATTTTATCCATACAATACTCATTTTAACAAATCATATTATGAATGCTCTTCGTTGCATGATTTCTGTTGTATTATTCTATTCTCTTCTGGTAAACCTTTGTTATTGCTTCAAAAGGAATCCATTTAATGTTTCTCGTTTTGAAGAGGAGGATGATAAATGGCAAATGGGAACAGCTACACATTATGGACCTATAGATGGTGCTGGATCAACAGGTATAAATAAGTATTAAATATAACATGCATGCTTTCTCGTATTGTTTATTTTATCATGTAATCTAATGGATGGAGTTTCATCTTTTCTTGCACAGTTACCAATTGAATTTTTTTATCGAAACAAAAATTATAATTGTTCTCATATTTAAATCACACACGATATGATTTTTGTGTGTGTAGGAGGTGCATGTGGATATGGTGAGACGGTAGAAAAATTTCCGATTAATAAAATGATAGCAGCTGGTGGTGGATCTATTTTCCGTAAGGGAAAAGGTTGTGGTTCTTGTTATAAGGTGAAATGCACAGAAAATAGTGAATGTTCAGGAAAATATGTTAGAGTGGTTATAAGTGATGAATGTGGAGGATGTAATGGGGATCATTTCGATCTAAGTTGCACTGCCTTTGCTAGCCTTGCAAAAAAAGGAGAAGACGCTGTTAAAAATCTTCTGGATGCTGGACATATTAAGATTCAGTACAAGAGGATTGAATGCAATTTTGGGAGGAAAATAGCCTTTGCAATTGTTACTGGAGCCAACCCATATCATTTTATTGTTCAAATACAATACCAAAATGGATATGGTGACATTGAAAAAGTAGAATTGAAGCAAGGACATAAATCAAAAAAATGGCTTCCGTTGCAACATTCTTGGGGTGCAAGATGGTTTTTGAGCAATAGTGGTGTACCGTTGAAACCTCCATTTTGTATTAAGCTCACGCAAAGTGGAAATGGAAAATCCAAGACCTTTAGAGCTCGTAAAGTCATTCCAAAAAGTTGGAAACCTGGCCAAGTTTATTGGTCACATTCTAATTTACAGTGTTAACAGAGGAGCAGAAACTAGAATTAAAAAAGTATGTATTCCATATGTGTCAATTTACAAGAATAAAATTTTGGGATTTATACAAATCAGTATTAACTTATTTAGGCAGGTAAATCTCCTATAATTAATGCTATAATAAATCTATAATAAAACGATAATCTCCTATAATTACTCTATATCAAATAATATTCTTATAATTTCTCTTAACACCCTCCCTCAAACTCTAGTTGGTATGGTGGATGTCAACTAGAGTTTGCTTAATAAATCTTTGAAGCGCATCGAATTATGTGTTTTGGTGAAGGTATCAGCCGGTTGGTCCACAGAAGGAATAAAAATCAACTGTATGGTGCCATTAGTAACATGATGGCGTACAAGGTGACAATCAATTTCAATGTGTTTTGTGCGCTCATGAAAAACATCATTATGGGAAATCTACATAACGCTTCTATTATTGCAATGAAGCATAGTAGCAGAAGATTGTGTAACGCCCATATCATTTAACAACCATCGTAAGCAAAGTAACTCAGCAGTAGCATCAGCAAGAGCGCGATATTCAGATTCTGTGCTTGATCGGGCAACAACTGTTTGCTTTTTGCTACGCCAGGAAAGAAGAGAATTTCCTAAGAAGAAACAATACCCTGTTGTTGAGCGACGATCGGTAGGGTCACCTGCCCAATCTGCATCAGAGTATCTAGATAGGACCAAGGATGACTTAGCAGAGAAGCGTAAACCATGAAAAATAGTACCTTTAACATAGCGAATTATACGTAGAACTGCAGAGAAATGAGATGACCGAGGGGCAGCCATAAATTGACTGACTTTATGGACAACATATGCAATATCAGGGCGAGTGACAGTTAGGTAAACAAGACTACCAACAAGTTGTCGATACAAGGTGGCATCTTCAAGAGGAGTGCCGTCAAGTGGTGTGAGTTTGGAGTTGACTTCTAATGGTGTCAATTCAGTCTTCCAGTCTGTGATGCCTGCTCGAGAAAGCAAGTCAAAAGTATACTTGGCCTGGGAAAGATAATAGCCTTCTGAGTCTTGGGAAACTTCAAGTCCCAAAAAATAACTGAGGGAACCAAGGTCTTTCATTTCGAAATGTTGACTGAGATATTGTTGTAAAGCTGAGATTCCAGTTTTGTCATCTCCGGTTATGATCATATCATCTACATAAAGAAGAAAAATTACAATACCACTATCACTTCTTCGAGTGAATAGAGCAGAGTCATGTGGACTAGAGAGAAAACCAAATTGTGTTAGAGTAGAACTGGACTTGGTAAACCAGACTCTAGGAGTTTGTTTCAACCCATATAAAGCTTTTTGAAGTTTACAGACCTTGTGGAGAGAATGGTATCCTGGAGGAGGGTGCATATATACTTCCTCTGTCAAATCACCGTGAAGGAAGGCATTTTTGACATCCATCTGAAAAAGCTTCCATTTACGAACTGCAACAATGGCCAAGAGGCTACGAACATATGTTATTCAAGCTACCGGAACAAATGTCTCTTCATAATCTATACCATACTCTTGAGTGTACCCTTTGGCTACTAGGCGAGCTTTATGACGTTTTACAGTTCCATCAGAGCGAGTTTTAATTTTGTAGATCCATTTGCATCTAATAGGAATCTTATCTGCAGGAAGATCAACTAATTCCCAAGTATTTGTCTTTTCTAAAGCTTGAATTTCTTCAGCCATAGCTTGCTGCCAAATGGGGTTAGTACTTGCCTCTCGATAAGAAGAAGGCTCATGAAGAGTTTTAATAGCAAAGTAACAATGGTAATCATTAAGACGAGTAGGTGGATTACTTACTCGGGTGGAATGGCGAGATACAGGTACAATATCAACATCCGGAACAGGTTCAGTAGGAGCAGGTGAGGGCGAACGAGTATTGAGCTCAACATCTGGAACAAGTTCATTAAAAGCAGGTGAGGGAAGAGGAGTATTGAGGTCATTAGAGTTATCTTCATTAGATCTTGGAAACAACTCAACTGAGGGATCAGTGAAATAAAACGAGTCAGTGTCAAGAGAATGATGAAATGTAGAAAGAGAGGAGAACATTGTGTTTTCCCAAAAGGTAACATGACGTGAGATGCGTAATCTGTTAGAGATTGGATCCCAACAGTGATATCCTTTGTGTTTTGTGCCATAGCCAAGAAAGCAACACAAGCGAGCACGTGGTTGTAATTTTGTGTGCTCATGAGGCTGCAAGAGAACAAAACAGACACATCCAAAAGGTTTAAGAATGGAATATTCAGGAGACTTACCAAATAGTTTTTCAAAAGGAGATAAGTTTTGAAGATTTATGGTGGGAAGTCGATTAATTGTATAGACAACATTGAGAGTTGCTTCCCCCCAAAACTTCTCTGAACACGAGGCCGAAAGGAGAAGAGCACGAACTGAGTCAAGGATGTGACGGTGTTTTCGTTTAGCCCGGCCATTTTGTTGGGAGGTGTGAGGGCATGAACATTGAACCATGGTGCCTTGCTGACTGAGAAACTGAAGCAAGGAAGATTCACGGTATTCCATCGCATTGTTTGTGCGAAGAATCTTAATAGCACAAGAAAATTGTGTTTTAACCATACGAGCAAAAGAAATATAAATTTGAGGTAATTCAAGGCGATTTTTCAAAAAATATATCCATGTAAAATGAGAAAAATCGTCAATAAACAATACAAAATAACGAAAACCATTTATTGAAGAAACGGGAGAAGGCTCCCAAATATCTGAATGAATTAAATCAAAAGGACTTTCTGAAACAAAGACACTATGATTAAATGATAAAGCAGGTTGTTTTGCAAGTTTACAATGTAAACAATCAAAAGACTCAAACTTTGTGGATCCTAATAACCCACGAGATATTAGAGGTTGAATTTTGCTTGTTGAGGCGTGACCAAGTCGAAGATGCCATTGATGAATTGGATAATTCATAGTAGTAGCAGAGATGTGATCTTTAGGAAGGTGAAGAGATTGTAGCTCAAATAACCGACCCACCCTGCGACCCGTCCCAATGATCTGCTTCGTATGTGGATCTTGTACCTGAACACCAGAGGGAGAAAAATAAACATTCAGTCCTTGTTCACATAATTGACCAATGGAAATAAGATTGAGTTTCAAGTTAGGAATGTAATATGTGTCAGGAAGGGTGATATTTAAGGTGGATACATAACCGGTATGAGTTATGTTCATTGTATTGCCACTGGCTGTGTGGATTGGTGGCAGAGATGAAACAAGTGTCGCAGCAGGTAATGATTTAATATCAGTGGTCATATGATTACTACATGCAGAATCAAAAAACCAACGAGAATTACCGGAAGTAGCAGACATGGCAGTAAAGGTGTTGGAAGATATAACCTGTTTGATTAAAGCTTCAATATCACTCATAGTAATGGTCTTCGAACCTTCAGTGGCAGCAGCAGAGATGGAGGAAAATCTGGACTTTGGAACATTCATGGATTTGGTGAAGCCACGGTTTTGTTTTGGAGGTCGCGTGGGACAATGTTCAAGAATCTGATCGATACCATGGCAGTACCTACACTCTATAGTAGGACAGTTAGCAAATATATGACCGGTGCGATTGCAATTCTTACATGGATGATGATTCGATTTCTGATGTGAGAATTGAGTAGTTGCAAGAGTAGCATCCATTTGAGGAGTTTTGTCTAGGTTCAGACGTGTTTCTTCAAAAATGATTTCTTGAATAGCAATGTCCAATGATGGAAGCGAATTTTGATGCAGCTGTGAGGCTCATACAACTTCATATTCGGGCCGAAGAGCCATAAGGACTTGAATGAGACGAAGGTTGTCTTCACTGATTTTGGCCAGAGATATTTGGTGCCAAATTGGTTGGATTTGGGCAAGAAATTCATTCACTGATTGACCAGGTTCTTGCTTGGTATTGTGGAGTGTGGTCCATAACTGATAATAATGTGTAAGTCCAGTTGTTTGGTAGCGGTTTTTCAAGAATTCCCAAATTTCTTTTGCAGAATCGTAGTTATTAAACTGAATGTGAATAGACGGTACAGACGTGTTGTGCAGCCACGTGATGATCTGGTGATTTTTACTATCCCAATCTTCAAGGCGGTCCGCAAATTTTGTAGCACATTCATCTTTGTCTTGAGTTGGCTTGACGACATCTCCGGTGACTATGCGGCAAAGCTTGCACCCGATCAGAAAACTCTTTATTCCTTGGACCCAGATATTGTAGTTTGGTCCAGTCAAGGTGGTTGGTTGTAATGGGTTTAACAATATCAGTTTTCTCCATGATGCAGAGATGAATAGATGAACAGGATAATGGAGGACTGAGTTTGTACATATCTGTAAGTAGATATACAGATGTTGCAGAAAAGAGAGGAAAAAAAATATGGGGATCGATGACCTATGCTCTGTATACCATGTTAACAGAGTAGCAGAAAGTGGAATTGGAAAAGTATGTATTCCATATTTCGTCAGTTTACAAGAATACAATTTTGAGATTTATACAAATAAGTATTAGCTTATTTAGGTAGGTAAATCTCCTATAATTAATGTTATAATAAAACTGTATTCTCCTATAATTACTCTATATCAAATAATATTCCTATAATTTCTCTTAACATTATGTATAAGAAGATTGCAGCTATGGGATATATAACATTGCATATATATAAAATTGTCGGTGAATAAAGAAAATAGTATATTTTGAATTACTTATACATAATCTCAGCGAATAAATATTATAGTAATATTTTATAAACAAATATTGAATATTATTTTTCACTAAGGCTATGTTTGGATAATTTAAAAATAACGGAGTGGAGCGGAACAAAACGGAATAGGATGAAGTGGAATGGAACGGAACGGAATATAAACTCCATTCCACTGTTTGAATATTTTACAACGGAGCGGAACTAATATCTCATTCCACTGTTTGGGAATTGGACGGAACGGAAAGCATTATAACTTTTTTATTCTATTTTTACCCTTTGCTACAATATTGATAGATCCAACATTCTCACACTAAA